TCTCTATGCTTTGCATTACCATTCAACATTAAGCAACATACAGGATATTTTTGTTCATGTGTTATTTGTTAGTTATGATATTTAAAGACAAAACGTGTTTATTAGTTGTTTAGCATCTCTAACAACTATATTTGTTTGCATTTTTTTTATTTGCATGTATTGTTTTTTTTTTTTTGTCTTTTTGTCTTCTATTTGAATTGATGGAATTAGAATCACTGCCACAGAACATTTATTTCATTTCATTACATTGCAATCACTCATGCTATATGTCACACAGAAAGCGTGACGTCATATGTACGTCATCAATTTCATTTACAATGCCCTTTTGGCGGCCATGCTGGTCTTATGACGTCATGGTTATTCAGTGACGTCGTTGCCAAATTCTGTAACTTTATCTTCTACGATGAATATGCTGCGTGCGAATAATATTACTCATTAGCTTTACGCAGTTCTAAGTAGGTATTTTAGCTATTTTTTCCGGTGATAATTATACGTTTGAGGCGAGGCGGTTGCCCTCGAAAACGAAGGTGTTTAAAGATATTTCGAATGTACGTAGGTTTACATTCGAGGATCAGGATTTAAGCTCTGAATGAGCGACATTCTTTGACTAGAAAAACAAGTTATGTTGATGTTTCTTTGTTTAAGCGTTGTGTCTTTTTTTCTCTCTCTTTTTTTTCTTTTTCTTTTTTTTTTGTCTTTTATGGCACAACCTGAGTGTACCACATTTGTGTAATTTATTATTATTATCATTCTCTCTCTCTCTTTCTCTCTTCTTCTCTCTCTCTCTCTCTTTCTCTCTTTCTCTCTTTCTCTCTCTCTCTTCTCTCTTTCTCTCTCTCTCTCTCCTTCCTCATCCCCTTCCTTTTCTCCCTCTCCATCTACTTTCCCCCTCTCCATCCCAACTTCTCCCCTCTCCCCCTCCTTCCTCCTCCCCCTCCCATCTTCCCTTTCCCATATGCTCACAACAACAACAAACAGACGAGCCAATAAAAAGGACATGAGGCAACTAACAGTCAAATTAAAAGAGATATAGGACAGTATATAATTACAACATAAACTCGAAAACTACGTTTCAACACTACGGTCACTTGCGTCACATAAGGGAGGAGGAGGAGGGGGGGGAGGGCATGACGTATGTTACTCGAGTTATTTATTATATATATATATATATATATATATATATATATATATATATATATATATATATGTGCGTGTGTGTGTGTGTGTGTGCGTGTATGTGTGTGTGTGTGTGTGTGTGTGTGTGTGTGTGCGTGTATGTGTGTGTGTGTGTGTGTGTGTGTGTGTGTGTGTGTGTGTGCGTGTATGTGTGTGTGTGTGTGTGTGTGTGTGTGTGTGTGTGTGTGTGTGTGTGTGTGTGTGTGTGTGTGTGTGTGCGTGTGTGTGTGTGTGCGTGTATGTGTGTGTGTGTGTGCGTGTGTGTGTGTGTGCGTGTGTGTGTGTGTGTGTGTGTTCTCGCTGTTATAGTGTCTTGGCAAATGAAGATGATACAAACAGTTCAAGGATATGCGAGCAACATATTTACGTTGTTTTTTCGGTCAGTTATTAAATCTCGACTCTATGTGAAGAGGAAATGATCAATAACAGAATTGTATATTGGTATAAAATTGCACTGAGGAGATGCACCAAAGAGCCTGTTATGTTGCCGAGTACTAGAAGGGAAACCAAGATAAGCGACTGGGTACGTAAGCTTCACAAAAGACCTGTTGATTTAACTGCATTTAAGTAATATAACATTGACCTGTAGTATTGTTTACAAGGACTGAAGGTGTTGAAAACACATTATCGCTTTTAAAAAATAATAGTGTTTGCGAGCGACTAGACGAAATGTTTTGCAAAGAGTGAATAAAGAGCTCATATTATCTAGCAAGAAATTAGCTATCCTTACGTGTCTTGAAATTCTAATTTTAGAGGATGTCTTTTCATTAGCGTAGGGCTTGTGAAAAATAATGTACCTTCAACATTTCATCAAGCCACATAAACGTTATCACAAACTGATTGGAAAGAATAGAAAGTTGCTCATGCATCCTCTCTATATTTCATACGACTATATAAATATCCAACATTGAAATAGTTCCCTCTTCACACAAAGAGGCGAGCTGTAGTAGATGACCATTACAGACGTGAATATGTCATTCACACATGCGTCTTGTTTGAGCAACAAGTGGAATACTTCCACTGATCACCTAAACACAACTATTGGCTGAGCACTTTGGAAACAAGTAGTCTGTTGCGCAGATAATCAGTTGAAATTAGAACCCTCAGATTTGTTTAAAAGTGCCGTGGAATTATACACGATTATGAAGAGGAATAAAATGACCAGATAACGACTATTATCTTAGCGTATCTTCATCGTCTATTAAGATAGAAGTATAAGACTTGGACATCATAAGCTGGGTTGATCTTATGAAATTACCAACGGACCTGAGAATGACTGTAATATCTCTAGGGCACTGGCAGAGTAGTTCTGCTGACCTTGATTTATACTAGATGAAAGGTGCTTATGACCCTCAGTCAGAACCTACCTTCCGCAAAGGTGTCCACATATCTTGTCTCACATGTGTACAGAGCAGGTGAACACCAGAATGGGTAATTATCAATCCCTCTAAGATAATGGCAGATGAACCATCACGTTTCTGCACACACTTTAGACGAGGTGCATTGACGCCAGTGCGCGGGATCGATCCTTAACATGTTTCGCTGGGCTTAACGTGGCACGGAGAAAGGTCAGTGTGGCAGCAGTTGCTTAAAGTTGGAAAATGGGATCTTCACAAAGATGCATTCATACTAAGACGTACAAATATTGTATATCCAGTGTTTTGTACACATGCTCAAAATGTTTTTTTTTTTTTTTTTTTTTTTTTTTTTTTTTTTTTTTTTTTTTTTTTTTTTTTTTTTTTTTTTTTTTTTGCATGGCAACTATTACACTGAAGGTTAGAGAAGCAGTGCCCCTAACACTGCACATGCACGTACAATTGTCACTGAGATTCATTATAGCTGGAATCATCTAGTCAATTGACAAGAGAGTAGGATATCCCTAACGAATGTAGCCCTGAAAAAGAGATTTGAAAAAAGGAAACAGTTCGTAATATGTTGAGAACCCCATCTGCAAGCAATGAAAAACAATTACGTTTTATACGTTCATAAGGGTCCAATGAAGACATCTAACGGCTTTATCCACAATAGGGGTGTTTATGAAGCCTTTGTTCAAAAATTAATAGGTAAAGAATCGCACATTCAGAAACCAATCAAACACATATCGCTTCATCACATTTTGTCCACTTGTTAATGCATGAATTCTTGTGAGTGAAGGTTTTTTAGATTTAGTAACAGAGTAAATTTATTTGGGATGTCCAGGTTGGTGGACCTAATACTGTATTCACAAACTTAATTTGAGGCTGAAAAGCGACTATTGCAAAAGTTTACAACGCTTGCTATATCCTGCCACTAGAATATAACAAGTGAGGTGTTATTACACTACGGTAGTTACATCATCCTGGGAAAATGTGCAGTTACTTGTATTCAACTTTAGTGTATGAATGAGAAATATATTAAAGTGGGATAGAGGACACATGAACAAAAGCCAGAGAGGTTTAGATATTTTTTTTGTTTTTCCTCGGCATTTTTAGGAAAGCAGCCAGTGAGTTTGTCAAACATGGATAAACTATTTCTCTTATCCCATAACTTTTTCCTCCCCTCCCCCCCGGCTGGCTCTCTCTCTCTCTCTCTCTTATTCTCTCTCTCTCTCTCTCTCTCTCTCTCTCTCTCTCTCTCTCTCTCTCTCTCTCTCTCTCTCTCTCTCTCTCTCTCTCTCTTCCAGTATTATAAGTGTTGTGTACAGAAAGCAGTATAGATTATAACACTGTTTCAATAGGGTTGTATAATATACAGTATATATTTTCCTACCAATAGTTACGGTCTTTAAGCTGTCAAAACAAGGTTGTTTTTATATGTAACAATGGAGTATATTGGTTCTATGAATCAGGCTGTTTCAATATCCTAACTTCCACAACAAAGTGATGAGCTTTATGCCATGTATTCGAGTTCAGACATTCATTAACTGATAATTCATTTTACAACTGTTGTAATAATGTGGTTTTGTAATAAGGTTACACATTTGTGGCAAGGAAACCAGAAATTATTATAAGTGATGTCTGGTTTTGTGGTAAAGTATTAAAAAAACGAAGGAGAGTAAAGGCAGACAAAAAAAAAAAAAAAAAAAAAAAAAAAAAACATTTGCAACGAAGCTCAGTCAATTGAAAGAAAAGATAAAAAAAACATGCTCTTGATGTATACTAAATCAAGTTTCATTACACACCTACAAAACTTATTATTCAAGAACGCTAGTCTGTAACACCACATGCGGTGCAGATATTGGAATTAGGAATTCAGATGGTGTATTTAAAAGCATGTAGTGAAAGAAAAGAAAAGAAAAAAATACATATAAACAACGACGAAAAAATTATACAGATCTCTCAGTCACTATTTCGGCAATTATTAGATCAAGAAATCAGTAGGGATTCGGTAAGTATAGAGGTAACAGCTGGGACACATTGGTTGTACTAGAGGTTTATTATATAAATACTAACGAGACTTAAAATAATTTTGAACCAAGTAAAGGTTTGAAAGATACACATGTAGTGATATCTAGTGATGACAGAATTTGTGTGAATGTCATGTATGCGTGCAAAGATTAGTCATTTTAATATGAAGATTAGTCATTTTGATACAGTTGTTATTTTACTGATTTCAGCAATTGGGCCGATTAGATTATAATTAATGTCAAGCAGATGTATCATAGTATCATTTACACTATCTTTTTATCTTATAATAATGCAGGATTTTATAGTTACCATGACAGTTGATATTAAAAAACCGTTCGATCTCCATTGCAGAGCCTTCTATATAACTGAGCATGAATCTGCCTTTCTTGTTTCTGGTTCCAACTTAGCAATTTAAGCCCGTGTTTGTTTCTTTGTTAT